GTGCACCCAAGCTAGCCCTTACGGCCAAGGGTTCATAGCAACTGAGATTAGGTGTCCCCATCTCACTCACCACGACCTTGGTGCCACTTGCACCAAAGCGTTCAAGTTAGATATGCCGAGCTTTCACACTAAGCAATCTAACCGTGCATCACGACTCCGAGGCATCCCTCGCTTGGCGGTGTGCCCAAACCAGTCTCCCCACTGAGAGTCCATGACCACCGAAATATGAGTGTCCTCATATTCCAAACCATCACCACGCCCTAGTGATTTGGGACTCGAACCCAAGCACTAGAGGGTTGGGACTCGAACCCAACCTCCGTATATGCATCTACGGACGGCATCACACTAGATGCCTGGCGTGACTCCCCACGCCGGTGCACCAACGTATTTTTAAAGCGCGCTACAGATCACAGCTTAGGAACCTAGTTCCTCCACACTGCCAAGTCCTCTCACTTGACATGTCTGTGATCATGCATGGACTCCTCCATGCTCGGCCCCATGGCCCACCCTTTTTGAAGTTATCACCTTCAACTAGGGTATTTGTTCCCCCGACATGCCAATCTCGCTTGGCAAGTCCTCCGACCACTGTAACATGGTTCCTGCATAAGCGTGAAAGTCCTTGACCATCGACTTTCGTTCAAAGCCCTCTCTTTGAACACTCAGGAACTACTTCCCTAACCTTGATAGCCTTGCCTCATGGCAAGCTTCAAGACCACGCTTCTGCTGCGCCACTCTGATTTCACGCGTTCCATGAACCATTTATACTTGGCCTTTCTAGGTACTAAGCTACCTAGAATCGTCTTTGGGAACCTTGAAGGAACTCTGTCCCTCAGCTTGCTAAGGCCTCCCTTTTTGCAAGCCTTCCAAATGCCACATAGTCTAACATGGACAATTCCATATTTTAGACTCTCCATGGCATCATGGTTGCTAGCGGCAACACCCTTGAGCCCCCACTTGATTCTCCACTCCCAGCTGGCATAACCAACCTTGGTTATGCCCTTTGATTCCTATGGTTCGGTTCTATCCCCTTACTTCTTGCTTTTTGGCTTCACACCTTTCCTTTGGTCATTCTCCTCCCAACTAGGAGGATAGTTTTGCACTTTCTATCATGCCTTAGCAAGTATTCTTAGGGATGAACCTACCCAATAGCCTAGGGAGTGGTTCCTCAATCCGGGTATGCTCACCTTATAATCCCACACACTGGGATTACATTGTTGCTTATGGGCCTTTACATGCCCATCACTAGCCTTGCCAAAATTCCATTTTTTGGCTTTGTCCAACTCGGGTAGACAGTCCTCTCCTGTCTCCGCAACCTTGGACATTTGGATAGCACCTTCTATCCATCATTCGCTAGGGACTTAGTCCCTTGGGCTTTATCCATTACCCTCGCGACATCAAACACCACCTTCTGGTGTTCTAGAGTGTTCGGGTGTCCCAATGATGGCTTTCTTGACAATGAGTATTTCCTTTTATGACATTGACTTACTATATCGCAACACAAGCAACTTATCCCCCGTAAAGGTATATCCAACTTCCCTATGCTATTAAGAAGTCTTGGGTAGCTACCTTCTACCCGTTTAACCAGTTATTTTGCACCTCTTGCTTAGTTGCCTCGTAGTTGTCAAGTCCTACAACTCATTGCTTGGTGCTTTCACACCTCCATCATTATCTGGGTCACCACACTCCAACTGCATGCTCTGCAACTTAGGCTATGCTATTCCCATTTCCATTGGGATTCCTTTGGCAAGGGGTTCTCATGAACCCACTAACATAGCCTCAAGGTATCACACCTTGGCACATTTGGTGTCTCCACACCATCGGCTCCACGAGCCCACCTCTATGGCATTTCCCCTTCGTGTCTAAGTCTTTGCCAAGACCAACACCGCTCTTTCTTATGCCAACCATCCGTTAGCACTGCACCATAGAGGTCACACACAACTTTATGTCAAAGTTGTTTTCTTCTGAGAACACCTTTCCCATAACTTTAGCATGGCACATTCTGCCATTGATGAGATACCCTCTGTTCTCATCCTTGGATCCTATGATCCCCCCCCCATCCTTTGTGGGGTACAACACACCTCAGTCCAAATGCTTCCATCAGTCCTTTTAGGACCATCCGTTGACTCTACTTGAGTCATCCAGCAGTTTTGGACTTGGTTAATCCACAGACCCGTAAGGTCCTACTTGTGAGGCACTAGCTCACTGGAATACACTTCTTGCATTCCTGTCCTACTCAAAAGGACTATTTTCACAAGTGTTACTCCGACACTTGATTTTGTTCTCTGGGGGCAACCTTTGCCCCTTAGGACTACTTGTCCATGTGATGAGAACACCAACTCATCCACTTAATACACCCCCAACTCCTTGGGTTGTTCCAGCATTTATTAGAGGTAGCCCCGGCTACCTTTTCAAGGGCTTGAGTCCTCTTCCGTATTTGACCTTCCACGGTCATTACCTTTGGTCTCACATTCATGAGCACCAACCTCGACTATATGAGGATAATCTTGTGACTCCTTTATTGTTTTGGAGTCTCTATCTTTCCTGTGATCCCAAATTTAGTTGTTTACCACAACAACCTTAGCCAATTTGCTAAGACAAATGCTCATCCGGATCACATCCTCAACTCAATGAGGAAAACCTTGCACTGTTCCCAAGATCCCAAAGTCGTTCCATTATTGGCCCTTTTCTATCCACCACCTCGTCTACAAGTTCACACATGAACTGTAATGGAGAGCCATGTCTTCCCGACTTGCTACTCCTCAAGGACAGGCCCACTCCTCGGACCTTCTGATGCCAACACTAGTGGTGATATACTTGAGCACCAATAAAAGTCGGACTAAGGAACAGCTCTGATACCAAGTTGTAAGCAACTAATTTTTCCATTCTACTTTAGTCACTTAACCACACCTTCGACCACTTGGAGGAGTCTCACTCACAACCTCCTTAAGTCCAATTCAGGACTTGGGACTTGCTAGCCCCAAGAATGGCATCCATGCCACTCAACACTTGCACCTGGTCCAAGTGCTCCACGTGTCCGGTCCCAAGACCGACACCCAAAGGTACCACTGACATCTCGGCCCGTTACGCTAAGGCCATGCCCATTCACCTTTGCTGCACTAGTGGTCCAATACCACTTGCATCACCATCCCGTCTCTCCAAGACTGGGCTATCGGTCCATGAGTGGTCATCCTAGATCCACTCCTTAGCATCCTTAGGATGCCCACAGACCTGGGGAATCGCCTTCCCCAAAGTCCCTTTGTCAATTCCTACCAAGTCCCTTTTTGCCCCTGGCCGTGTTTGCCAACACTGCCATTGGATCGAGGCCCACAGACCCGACCACTAAGTCCCATGGTCCTCTGGGACTTCCTCACCACACGACTGTGTCCTTGGTCACTACCCCAGAGGACTGCTCCTCTTCCTTTCCACAGTCTAGGCCTTTGGGACAACATTTCGGAACACCGTGGCCTTACGCGAGCCACCTGGGTACTCTCCCCGCCTTTCGCCTTTAGGTGCTCTAGCCATGGGCTTAGAGCGAGGTTCCGTTGAGCCACACCTGGTATCCAAGTAGGTAGTGCCACCCACACTTGGACTGGGAGCATCGGCCAGTCGATCTCCCGGGGGAACTAGAGCCGGCTCTTGAACACTTCACCAAGCTACCCCGCTTGTCGGTCCGTGTTCACTCTAGTCTTGGACTTCCCAGTGGGCATCTCATCACCCAACACTGGGTCCGGCCTTCCTGGGCCAAACTGGCCTTTCCTGGCCAAACTGGCTCCACTGCAGTCCTCCCCCTACTATACTTTTGGAGCTCACCAAACCCCCCAGGGTCTGGGAGACGAACGCTTTGGGCTTTCACCCTCTTAGGCTCCGGACTCGGACTCGGACTCGGACTCGGACTCGGATTCGGATTCGGACTCGGGCTCGGGCTCGGTCTCGGTCTCGGTCCCGATCTCGGTCTCGGTCTCGGTCTCGGTCTCGGTCCCGGTCTCGGTCTCGACTTCGGACTCCATCTCGGACTCCATCTCGGACTCCATCTCGGACTCCATCTCGGACTCCATCTCGGGTCCATCTCGGGTCCATCTCGGACTCCATCTCGGACTCCATCTCGGGTCCATCTCGGACTCCATCTCGGACTCCATTTCGGGTCCATCTCGGACTCCATCTCGGACTCCATTTCGGGTCCATCTCGGGTCCATCTCGGACTCCATCTCGGACTCCATCTCGGACTCCATCTCGGGTCCATCTCGGACTCCATCTTGGACTCCATCTCGGACTCCATTTCGGGTCCATCTCGGGTCCATCTCGGACTCCATCTCGGACTCCAACTCGGGTCCACCTAGGACTCCACTTCGGACTCCATCTCAGACACTCCCACGTGTCATGTGTTGGTCCTTTTGGGTCCCTTTTTGGAGCCTCGCCTTTTGCTCGCTTCGTGCTCGTTCCTCGAGCACTTCGTTGGGAGTTCCACTCCCGCTCTTGACTTTTCAAGTCGGAGCTTTTGGTCCAAACGTGTTACGCTCGTTTGGCTCTCGCTTCGGCCACTACCATGTGGCACCCTTCCGGCTCCACTTTGGGGCCTAGGGATTTTGTGTCTCACAGTTTAATTCCTCTATGAATTCTTCTGGGTCTACTTCCAACACATCGTGTGCTGGCCCATGTGGCATTCTCATGGGCTTCCTTGGTGGCATTATCTCCTTGATCTTCACTGGAGGTGGCCCGAATGGGACTATGGGTGCATCCGAGCATACAGACATTTTCGAGTACTGCGGCAGTACCTTCGGGTATCCTGTCTCCGGTTCTTGCTTTCCATCCGTGGATATCACTACTTCTGGCGTGAGCTCTTCCCGGACCCCTCTTGACGATGATGCTTCCCATTGTCTCACCTCATCCCACTTCCCTTTTCCCTTATCATCCCTTATCCTACCCTAGAGTTCCTGTCCAATTTGCGCTTCATATGTTCGTGCCACCTGTTCCATCTCATTCGGTCTCTCCTGTCTGGCTTCCTATTGCTGCCTTTCCTTGATGGCCTTTTCCCTCTCAGCTTCTTCTTCCAGCAGCCGCTTTGCTTCCTCTTCTACCAGTCGTCTGGCTTCTTGTTCTTTTCTTGCATTGGCTTCCCTGATTGCCTTGAAACAAGGAGGGCCCTTGTCCAGTGGACAGCACATCTTGACCCTTCGCTTGACCCCGGTCGGGGATCCTACCCACACTTCCTTCCCGCTGACTTCTTTTTCTGCCCTTGCCGCTGCGCTTTCCTCCCCCGCCCCTGGCGATTCATTGGTGATGTTTCTTCTAGGCACTCTTGTGAGTGGTGCTCCCTCTTCCTCGCTTGAATCCTCTTTTCCCTTGTTTTCTACATTGACTAGCGAGACTTCTCCTACCAGCACCTCTTCTGGATTGAGTACTTCCGGCAGCTGCACCCCTTGGGCTCTCCTGCCTGCAGTACTCATCCTCGCCATTGTCCTTGCTCGTGGCATATTTCCCCCCGTGTCTTCCTCTTTTTGCTTTTTCCCTTCTGAATCTTGTGTTCCTCTCCTCCCCTCACCTACTTTTTCCCCCTTTTCCTTCTCTTCTGTTCCCTCCACTTTGTCCACAACCCTCTTCCCTTTTGGAGATTTCTCCTCCTTGTCTTTCCTTTTCCTCTCGCTTACCGCATTGCTTTTGTCTTCACGCTGCCCTTCATTTTTTACCGCAAACAATGCCCTCCGGATTGACAAGTCCCCTTTAAATAACGCTGACCCTAGCTGCCACTTGTCATTCCGCCATTTGCTGCTCGCTCCTCCACGTTTTTCTTCCCCCTTCCCTGTCCATGTATCTAATGCACATGCTTGTTTTCTTGGATTCCTCGGCTTCTCCTCGGACATTACCCCGCCACGCATCTCTCCCTTGGATTTCATGCATGGATTTTCCCCCCATGCATCTCCACGTGTCGCCTTGTCCTTCTTCCCCTCCCTTCCGACTGTGACCTGCTTGGTCGCTTTAATTCCCACTCGCTGCGTGTTGATGACGTTGTTACTGTCCTTGTTTTTCTCCCGATTTGCTATGATCTTGACAGTTATTCCGCCTTTCCCCCCTATTAACTCCTTCCTTGGATTTCCCGCACCTGCATTCATTTGCCGTCTAGCCGTTGTCTCGGGATTCCAGCCGCTCCCGATTCCTCCCATCTTGTTCCGCCGCATGTCCACCATCTCCTCCGTCCCTTCTTCTCCTCCCGGTCGTATCCTAGCCGTCCAGAGCAGTGGTTTTTTACCTTTGAACATCGTGATCTTTGCTTCAAGCTTTGCACTTCCTTTCTTGGGCGTTTCTCTGGCCAGCGAGCTTGGTCTTCCAACTAAAGTGGAGCTTCCCTCTTGCCCAGTTACTTTTGCTCAAGATCTCGGTCGCATAGAGCTTTTGAACCTTCAGAAAAAAATTTCGGGTCCAAGCTGATGTCAGCCGGCCAGCCCAGTTTTGCTGTGCCCAAGATCCCCCCGACTAGTACTCCAGATCATTGCCTTATTGCGACCGTTCCTCTTATCCTCCCAGCGCACACTCTTTCTTTTTTAGTGCATGCAGTGGAAAGTTCTTGGTGGACTTTTGAGACTTTTCACTTAGCTTTTTATAGCTCAACGATCTTACTCCTCTCTGGCTTGTTCCCCCGAGGACCAAAAGGACTTTCTTACAAGCTAATACTGTCAGCCGAGGGGGGGCTAGAAAGGATGTCGTTCGGAGCCATTCCAAACTTGAGATACGAGCCAAAGAATGCACGGCGGGGGTGATTCAAGGGGATGCTTTCGATTCTTTTTTCTTTTTTCTAGCGCTTTGCAGCTGGAGGAGAGGCTTCGCTTCTAGCTTTGATCTTTAGCCTTTGTCTGGTGAACTCTTAGCTGAAAAAACTGGCCCACCGACTTGAAACCAGCTTGAACCACACTACGAGCTCTATCCACCCAATCTCTTGCTGTACCTTGCGCGAGTCGCTCACACCCAGAGAAGGACCAAACTCACTGCCCAGCCACACTCAGAGCCATTGTGCTTCCGCCTGGAGCTTCCCGATCAACTTGCAAAAAACCCTCTCGGATATGGCTGCAGTCGAGAAGATCCAACGGCGCGTCTCACTACCGTCCAGCGCCAGTGCCACACTCAAGCGTCCAGTCCACTCTCACCCAGCGGCTGCACTTCTCTCCTCTTGCCTTGGTGCCTTCCCTCCTCTAGTCCGACTTTGTTAAATGGGGCCTTTTATTTTCCAGTAAAAAACCAAAAAGACTAGGCGTGGTTTCATTGGGCACGAATCCAGCAAAAGAGCCTTTATCTAGAGGAGCCTACAATGGAAGTACCAACGGAAAGGGGGGTTGCTCGCGAACTGGCGCCCGAAGGTCTTCCGAGATGTGACACTTGGAACCAATAGTCCAGCGGTGTCCACATCCATTCCCGAGTACCTGCCTCCCCTTGCTTCCACAAAAAATGCCAGATCTGTGCCTCTTTTTTTGCTTTTTCTGGACCATTTCTGCCTCCTCTCTTTTCCAATTGTAGGGTGCGGGCTGCTGCTGCAGTTATCATTCTAGTCCACACCCGTGATGCCACCACCCTTGGTCCTTCTTCTCTGTCATTGAAAATCCTGTTGCACCGGGCTTTCCACACTTCCCACATTGTAATTCCTCGCAATAGATCTACTATCTCTGCTGGAATTCCTTCTGTATTTGTTCTCGTTATGTTGAGCTGATCGAACCGAGGTGCCCCTTCTTCTTTTGAAGACCATTTCCAAGAGTCTGTTCCATTTCGCATTCCTGCAGCAGCTTCGCCCCACACTGCTGCTTCATACTTCATACGTGAGGCACACTTGTCTTTGAGAGTGTTGTTGCAGCAACCAGCACGTGCTTCTCCACACATCTTGTGCACTTTCGCATTCCCATAGTATGTGCCTTTGTGTCTCCCTCGCTCCGCATTTATCGCACGTTTGGTCCACGAGATGTATGTTTCGTTTAGATGGTAGCCTGTCTTGCATTGTCAACCACATGAAATACCTTGTTTTTGCTGCCCACCGTCCACTCCATAGTCCTTTTAAAGTCTCCTGTTGCACCCTGTCTTGTATGTTAGCTTGTTTCATCCTTGATATCAGTAGCGAGTCACTGCGTGGGCGAATGAGCCTTCTTCCCAATCCTGTTTCGTAAGCAAAAAACTCTTCCTTTTTTTGTCCTTGCCAATTCCATTCCATTGGATCCCAGGCCAATTCACTTAGTTTTTGTTGCCTGAACCAGTACATCCTAGCTACTAGGCCTTCTGATATCTTCGGGTCCATTGTTGCTGTCTTCTTATCTATCTTTATAACTCGTATCAGCTCTGCCCTTGACATGTCCGGTCGTGGACTTTCCTCAGGCACCTTGTATGGTAATAGTCGGCCTGCCCCCCCCCCCCGACTTCAAAGACAACACACTTCGCCTGGTCTTGAGTTGCCGTATATATCACTTTTTCTTCGGCTATCCACCATGCTGGTGTCGTTTCTCTGACTTCCCTAATGCTCTGTTTGCAGTTCCTTCGTGCTTCTTCAAAGGCTACTTCAAACTTTTTCAAGCGGTGTGCTGAAATTTCCAGCCCGTAGAAAGACTTTAGTCTATCTCTGTTCATTTCTGTTTCCCCCACTTTTATCATCGAGTCGGCTTCTGCAAATGTTCTCATCCCAACACTGTGGAGGTCTCGGCATACCTTGTCTATTCCTCTGTCCCCTGTTTCCCCCAGACTTTTCCCCTTATACTGAAATAGCTTATTAAGGAACATTGGTTGTCGGTCCATCTCGTAGCTATTTGCCAGTTTTCTTTTTTCCATCTTGCTCTTGAATTCTTTCCACAGCCTGAACAACTTCCCGGAGAACGTATTTGGTTTTGGCATTTTTAGCGTTCCTTCATTGAACAGCCACCTTTCATCTTTTTCCCAGTTTTGTCTCGTGTGTTCTAGTCTATCTGGAATGACTTTGAGCAGTTAGTGGCATAGTAGGAGTTTCCATGGCTGGTTTCCAGGCATGTTCATTGGTGAAAGATCTTGAATAGCAGTGCCTTGCATTGTTCCTCTATATCAATTATGTTTATCCCCCCTTCCTGTTTTGCTCTTGTGACCGAGCTCCATCCAACCTTTGCCCCTCCTCTTGATACTGTTGACTGTCCCTTCCATATGTATGTCCTGATGAGCTTGTTCATGTCTTTTAGTGTTTTCTTGTCCAAGTTCCAGGACACCGCCAGGAACCAGATTGCACCTAGCACAATGTTGTTTGCCACTACACATCTTGCCGAGAAGGATAGCTTTCGTGATGCCCAAAATTTCAGTTGGTCTCTGAGCTTTTCAACCGCTTTTTGATTCTATGGGAGGGGGTCGTAAGTCCGGCCTACTTGGAACCCCAAATATCTTGTTGTTTCCCCTTGCTTCAGCCACTTGAACTCCCACTCACTTCCCCAACTTGGCGGATCAGAGCTTGGCAACCATATTCCCACTGATTTCCCCCAGTTTATTCTTGAGCCAGCTGCCAGGTTAAAGAAGTCCAAATCCTCCTTGACCTTGCTCATGTTTTCCAGGGCTCCTGATGTGATGATTCCCGTGTCATCCGCGAAGGCACTAGATTTCAACTGCCTTTCAGCTGTCCCTGCCAGATCTTGTAGCGAGTCTCTACACTCGGGCAATACCAGCCCCTCTGGCCCATCCTCCCTTGCTAAATAGTGCGCTAACGCATCGGCCACGAAAAAGAATAAAAAAGGGGCTAGTGGACACCCTTGTCTTACTGACCGTTGTAGCTTGATTGTGTTCCCCACTGTCCCATTTATTGTGACTTTGCTTGATGCACCTTGGTATAGGGTGGCCGTCCATCCTATGAACTTTTCTGGAATGCCAATCTTCCTCATCGTCATTTGCAGGAACTCCCAATCCACTCTGTCATACGCCTTCTCATAATCTAGGAGTATTATTGCCATCTCTAGTCCTTGGTCCTCGACTTGTTCTTGCGTGAGCAGCACTGTCAGGATGTTGTCTACCAGCTGTCTACCTTCCACAAATCCATTCTGGGTGTCGTGTATCGTCTCTGGCAGTATCGGCCTTAATCTCTTGGCAAGCGCCTTGGCTACTATCTTGTATAGGGTGTTCAGCATCGAGATCGGTCTCCAGTTTTTTATTAGAGATGCATCCCCTCCTTTTTTCGGAATGAGTGCAATTACTCCATCTATGGCTCCTGGAGGCCATTGTCCTGTTCTCATCACCTCCCTCCATGTGTCCAACACTACTGGCCCAATCCATTCCTAGTTCGCTTTATAATACGCTGGTGGCATCCCATCTTCCCCGGGCATCTTGTCATCGTTCAGGTCTCTGACTGCCTCCTCTAGTTCTTCTAATGTGAAGTTTCTACACAAGGCTTGTGCTAAGGATTCATCTACTTTCCGGGGCATAACCTGGAGCACCTCATTCATGGCTGTTTTCCTTTCTTTTGTCCATGGTTCCGCCATAAACAGTCCTTGGTAGTATGCCTCAGCCATCTTGTGCTTTCCTGTAGGCTCGTGTGCATCACCCCTTGGTCGTCCTTGAGCCCGAACATTGGCGGGGACGTGACTCTTGCTTTTATAGACTTATAAAACTCTTTGTTTAGTGCATTCTCGCTATTATGCCACTTGAGGTGCCCCGACCTTATAAATGCCTCCATTTTTTCCGCCTCCAGGGTGAAAAGTTGGGCTTTGGTTCTTGCTAACTGAGTTCTGAGTGACGCATCCAGCGGGTCCAACCTAATCAATCTCTTAATAGCTTCAATATTTCTTCTTATAGCTTGCACTTTTTTATAGACTTTTCTTCGTTTGTTCTGTGTCTTTTTCCTGATCTCATTGTCTATCTTGATTGTGAACTTGTGCAGATCCCCTCCTTCTTGTTGATTCCACTTTTCTTTTATGTAATCATTCAGCTCTCTATCCTCAAAATTTTTCCGAGATACTGGTGCAGGCCTCTTTGTTCCCCACCTCTTTAAGATGGGAAGGGTCAATGATACTGAGTTGTGATCCGAGAAGTCTCTGTATCCCGTGGCTATGTCTAGTTTTCCACTGTTCTGACACAGTTCTGGTGACACATAAAACCGGTCCAGTCTTCGTTGTATTCCTCGTTGCTGGTGCTCTTGCCATGTGAACCTTGGCTGGTGTTGCACAAAGCCCGAGATGTTGTATGTGTCTTCTAGCCCCATAGCTAGCACTAGTTGTGCTCACATTGCTCTTTCCCTGCTCGTCCTCTTATCTCTCATTTCTCCCCCATCTTTGTCTAGCTCTTC